GCCCTCAAAAGCAAAACTGGCCAAATGGAAAAGGAAGTCCAAAAGCTTACTAAAGAAAATACTTCCTTAAAAACTAGAATGGAGAAATTGGAAGCTAGTAACAATTTGAGAAAACAAGGCACTGTAACACTAATCAAAAAGAATGAAAAAATAGAAGAGAATGTGAAATATCTCATTGGAAAAACAACTGACCTGGAAAATAGATCCAGGAGAGAGAACTTAAAAATTATTGGACTATCTGAAAGCCATGATCAAAAAAAGAGCCTAGACATCATCTTTCAAGAAATTATCAAGGAAAACTGCCCTGATATTTTAGAACCAGAGGGCAAAATAGAAATTGAAAGAATCCACTGATCACCTCCTGAAAGAGATCCCCAAAGGAAAACTCCTAGGAATATTGTAGCCAAATTCCAGAATCCCCAGGTCAAGGAGAAAATATTGCAAAATACTGAATATGAAATTCAAGTATTGTGGAAACACAATCAGGATAACACAAGATTTAGCAGCTTCTACATTAAGGGTCCAGAGGGCATGGAGTATGACATTCCGGAGGGCAAAGGAGATAGGACTACAACCTAGAATCACCTACCCAGCTGAGTATAATCCTTCAGGGTAAAAAATGGTCATTCAATGAAATAGGGGACTTTCAAGAATTCCTGTGGAAAAGATCAGAGCTGAAGAGAAAATCTGACCTTCAAAGACAAGACCCAAGTGAAACAAGGAAGAGGTAAACAGGAAAGAGAAATCATAAGAGACTTATGAAAGTTGAACTGTTTACATTCCTGCATGGAAAGATGATATTTGTAACTCATGTGTCCTTTGTCAGTATTAGGGTAGTGGGAGAGAAAAAAATATGTATGTATAGATAGATAGATAGATAGATAGATAGAGGGCACAGGGTGAGTTGAAGATGAAGGGGTGATATCTGGAAAATAAAATTAAGGGGTGAAAGAGGATTATACTGGGAGAAGAAGAAAGGGAGAAGTAGAATGAGGTAAAATATCTCACATGAAACAGACAAGAAAAGGCTTTTACAGTGGAGGGGAAATGGGGGAAGGTGAGAGGGAATGAGTGAATAATATTCTTATAGGATTTGACTTAAGGAGGGAATAACATGCACAATGGGGTATGGATATCAATCTTACCCTACAGGAAAATAAGGGAGGAAGGGGATAAGAGAGCAGGGAGTTGATAGAGGGGAGGGCAGATTGGGAGAGGGGATAATCAAAAGCCAACACTTCTGAGGAGGGACAGGGTCAAAAAACAGAATAGAATAAATGGGGGGTAGGATAGGATGAAGGGAAATATACTTAGTTTTTTACAACAGGACTACTATGGAAGTGTTTTGCATGACTACACATCTATGACCTGTATCGAGATGCTTGCCTTTTCAATGAGGGTGGGTGGGGAGGGAGGAAGGGAGAAAATTTGTAACCCCCCCAAAAAATAAAATAATAATAAAAAAAAGGAAAACAAAAGAGTTGGACTCGACTGAAACAACTGAACAACTACAACAAAACTTATATGTTGGGCAAGTCATTTAACATCTCTTGGATTCAATTTTCTTTGTAAAAAGAGGGGTTAGAAAGACCAAAAAGGTTGGAATTCCACTAATCTTTTAGAGTACAAGTCTAAAAACTCAAACGTATGTTATCTCTTTAAGGTTTACAAAAAACTGTTCTCACAATAACCCTGTGATGAAGGTAAATAAGGCTGTTACTATACTCATTTTATAGTCAAGGAAATTGAGAGCTAGAAAGTTAGTCTGTCTTGCCCAAGATCACACAACTATCAATAAAACATGTTTTTAAATGCAGAGAAGAGAAAATGGCGTTCCCAGAGGGAGACACAGTTAAGCAGGACAGCTTTGGAATTTATGTCTTGAATCTGTTACATTCTTTGAAAAAAAAAAACAAAACAAGCTGTAATAGATTTGTGGATTCACATACAATTTTCTTTTTCTATTCTTTGTTTATGAGAATATTCATGTCTGTTGATGTTTTTCAAGTCCATAATAATAAAAACTAAAAATAAATTATAAAATGTTTCACAGCTAGTGTCAGAGCCAGCATTAAAAACTAGATCTTCTGCCTTCAAGTCCAGCTCTATTTCCACTATACAACTCTAACTAGAATGGTTACTACCTAAAAATTGCCAGAAAAACCTGGGTTTAAGTCTTTTCTTTAACAAATATTGGCTGGCTGGGTGACTGTGGGCAAGTCACTTAACTTCTCAGCTTTCTAGGCAGCTCTCTAGAAAAACTGAAGAGGTGTGTTTCCTTCCTGGAGAGTTTACTAAACAGTTTACTAAAGTCAATGAAACCACAGCACCAGTCCCTATCTCTATGCTCCAAAATAGAAACAAGTACACACCTAGGATCTCTAATCATTTTCAGACCCTAAGCAAATATGCAATGTCTCAGAAATACAGGAACAGTGGCTTCAAATTACACAATCCCAAGAGATTTGGAACTCTTAATTCTTTTTTTTTTTTTAATTTTTTTTTTGGGGGGGGCAATTGGGGTTAAGTGACTTGCCCGGGATCACACAGCTAATAAGTGCCAAGTGTTTGGTCTGAGGCCAGATTTGAACTCAGGTCCTCCTGACTTCAGGGCCAGTGCTCTATCCACTGCACCACCTAGCTGCCCCAAGGAACTCTTAATTCTTATGAAACACGCTCTTCCAACTCCACCTCTCACCTAAATTAACATCTAACAGCATCACCGGCTGTTTCCACACATTACCAGGAGACACAGTTTTCCTTTGCTGATAACTGATAAAATAATTCTATTTCACAAAACAGGATAATATAAAATGTTGCTACTGACTTTCAATTCAATTTTTTTAGTTCTGCTGGAGGCCACACAATAAAAATATTTAACCCCTTAACTTTTTTGTTATTAAATTTTTCTAACACCTTTTCTCCAAAGACATTACTTTTCATATCCAGAACACACAATACTTGCAAAAGAAATAGTCTTTCTATTCCTAAAATGTACAGGTTCATTTTAACAAGTTTGGTTTATAGCTGTGTGACCATGGACAAGTCACTTAACTCCACTGCCTAGCCAAAAAAAAACCAAACCACCAAAAAACCCAAGTTCAGTTTAATTCAACAAACATTTATTAAGCATTTAGCTCCAGCCTGTTTTTTGCCTTTCTTTGTATCCCCATATAGTAGGTGTTTAATAAAGGCTCATTATTGACTGACCTAATAAGTGATTATCCTCAAGAAACATACACTGTATATGGAGGAAGGGATGTGGAATGAAATATTTACACAGCTAAATATAACGAAAGGGATACTAAGTAAAGGGACAGAAGAGAGATCCAAACAAAGCGCTCTCAGAAAATCTGAGGAGGGACAGCACACTTTCAGTTGTAATGCTTCAACCAAGGAAGCAATGCACTACTAAATGAAAGCTACTTCAGCGAGCCAAGCGGCACTAAAGTGCCTCTTATCAGAGGCCATGCCTGAACAGCTGAACCATGGAGAGCTGAGTTTTACGGATTGATACAGCAAAAAGGGTCAGCCCATCAAAACGCCAGGTTTTCAAAATGTGACTCAAATCATCAATGTAAAACTGTGGCAGTCTCTCACTAGCCCTTAAACAGTGACCCAGTACTGTGGTTCCTCGTCTCCACCTCGTGGAATCCCTAGTTCCCTTCAAAGCTCAGTTCTGGTGCCCCTCCTAACACTCTAAGTCATTTCTGCTCTTTCTGGTTTTCTTCAGGTGTTTGTGCTCTTCCCCCACAGAAATTCGCCTGCATAGATACTATGTTGAAGAGGCAACACTTTGAAGCAAATAAAGAACTGACCTCAAGGTCAGTTAAACTTGGGGTTCAAGTCCAAACTCTGTCACATATTCTTGGTATGACTTGGGCAAATCCCTTAACCTCTCAATGCACTAGTCAACTCTCTTGAGTCAATTTCTCAAGGGTACCATCATCCTACCAGTCTCCTGAGCTCACAACTTAGGTATTATCCTCCATTCCTCACTCCTTAATCTCTCCTACCCCCCCCAACAGTCACTCTGTTGCCACAGTCTATCAACTTCACATAATAATAGTTAACATGTATACAGAGCCTACTATGTACCAGGCACCGAGTGAAGTCCTTTACAAATATCTCATTTGATTCTCACATCAACCATGGGAGGTAGGTGCTATTATTCTCATTTTACAATTGAGGAACCTGAGGCAGACAGAGGTTAACTGATTTGCCCAGTGTGTCACAGCTACTTAAGTGTCTTTGAACTCAGCTCTTCCTGACTCCAGGGCTCTTACTACTGCCACCTAGCTTCCCCAATAACATATTTAGTTATGTGTATGTCCATATAATATACAACATATAGACAGATACTTTTAAAAAAGAAAACGTTTAAAAAATAATAAGGCACCTACTATGTGCCAGGCACTGTGCTAAGCGCTGGGGATAGACAACGAAGCAAAAGGCAGTCGGTGCCCTCAAAGAGCTTACAATAAATAGGCTGATGACAGCCTGACAGACAGACAGACAGACTGGCAGACAAGCCGGAGTTTGCCCTAAGTAAAAGAAAGACAAGGTCCTTCGTGGCAGGGATTGTATCAGGGTTGCTCTAGCACCCCCGGCGCGGGCACGATCCTAGGCGCACAGCAGTGGTTTAGTCAATGCACGCTTTCTGAACTGGAGGGGTGCGAGCTCTTTTCCTGGACTACCCCCAAGCCCAGCCCGCGGTGCAGGGAGGAGACCTCGGAGGCGGCGAGGCTCCGCATCCGCTCCCCGCCTCCCCCCGGCCTTCCCATTGCAGTCTCGGCCCGGCTCGGTTCGGCTCGCCCTCTGACAGCTGCAGGAGCGGCGCCGGCGCCCTCGCTCCCCCTCAGCTGCGAGGCCGGGATTCTCCCCAACACGCCGCATTCCCCCCCGCCCCCCGCCCGCCCCAAGTCCGTCTGGGCAGCGCATCTCCCCGGGCCGCGCCGGGTACGAGTCCCGAGGCGGGGGACGACGACAAAGAGGCTCACCAGGGCAAGTTCTTGAGCACTTGGCGAAGACCCGTTCCCGGGAAAGCCAGTCCGGTCTCCAGCCTGGTCCGCGTCCCAGAGCTCGACGTCCTCCATTTTGCTGCCGACTGACACCCGCAGTTGCCGACCCAGAAGAGGAGACGACCCAAAGCCAGCCAGGAACCGAGCGGACTTGGGCTGGGCGACACTTTTGCGACACCCCCTGAGGTCGCTGTGGCAGGGGTTGACGCAGAGCCGGGGAGCAAGTTCCGGCTTGCGTCTCTCGCACAACGTCACTTCCTGGAGCGGCGCGGAACCTTACATTTTCTGGTGTTTTTAACGTTTGGGTGAGAGGCTTCAGAGAGGTTCCCCTCCCCCGCCTTCTCAGCACCCCAACCCCATTGAAGTCGGCTTTATTAAAGGGTAAGGAACGGAAGGCAGAAGGTGAACTTCCGGGAAGGCCGTGGCTCCAGGGCTTGTGTTGGTGGCTGCCGTGTGCAGCCCCATCGAGAAACGGTTTAAAAGCCGGATGAGGACATTTGGACCAGCCTCCCGTTCTTTTGTAGGTTAGAGAACTGAGGCCTGTAGTGTTTAAGCGACTAGACCAGTTTCCCCGAGGTAGATTGTGGTAAAGCCTGAACGAAATAAAATCCAGCTTCGCCCCCCAACCCTCTCCCCCCAGCTCAGGGCCTGTTCCTGCACTCAGTGGCCCAGACAGGACGTTGAGCCATTTGCATTTGGGAGGTACTTTGTCATTGGCGGGTGTTCGGGACCTGTGATTTCTTAGGGGTGAGCAGCTCTTGGGGTGGAAACTCCCAGAGATTGGAGATCAGCAACTCCTGTGTAATTTTATAAGTAGCTAGGTGGTGCGGTGGATACAGTGCAGGACCCTGGGCAAGTCACTTAAGCAAGCTGGTGTGCCTCAATTTCCTCATCTGTAGAATGGAGATAATAATAGCACCCGACACACAGAGTTGGGAGTGTCAAATATCTTCATGTTCTTAAGACTAGATAGAATGTGTAAGAAAGCACTTCAACCCATGTCTTCCTGATTCCCAAGGCTCCTTTGCTATCTACTACACTTAGACTTTTGGAAGGGCAAAATAAATCCTGAATCTATAAAGTCTAGAAACTCTTTTGAAAAGAAAGCATGAGTCTTGCTTAGGCATCAGTTGACCATTCTTACACACTTAGTCCTTCTCTACCTCGTGTGGGTTTCATCCTTCCTACTAGATTGTGAACTCTAGGGTAGGGCTGAGAGTCATTTTTATGTCTCCAGGTTTAGCATGGAGCCAACAATGTTTGTTGATTTGAATCCAGCAAAGTATAACATAGGACGATGGTTTATTATTAGGACATTTATTAGTGTAAGAAGCTGGAGTAGAATCCAGGTTTCCTGACTACTCCATCCTTCTCTGATGTTTTTTTCTTCTCTACCATGCTGTCTTTCGGAATTAATGTCTAATAGTAAAAAACTAAAATAATACCGAAAATAAGATTTTAAATGGTACCATTCTTAAATTCTGCAATGGTAGTACTAGCAAAGTAGAATGAGTAATTTTCATCTTAAATGAAGACATAACTTATATCAAAAAAAAGGGGGAGATAGTAAGAGATAATGTAATACTTCTTGAATCTGGTGTCTTGAACTTCCCTGTTTCTCCAGCACTTGACCAAATAATTTTCTAACATTTGTTCATCCTAGCCCTCAGCCTCCATCTCAGGACCATCACAGTCCGACTTAGTTTTCTGGACTTTGCTCAGATATTGTCTTCTCCATGAGAAAAGTTTCCCTGCCAGAAATGAGGTCTTAAGAGGTTCATAAAATTTTACAAGTGAAAGGGACCTATTGCATTCTCCAATCCCTTCATTTTACAAGTGAACAGAGACCAAGAGCCTTTCTTGAAACTTCCCCATTGTATTTGGGTTAGTATGTCACATATATAACAATTTTCAAGACAGCATGTACTTTAAAATTGGTTTATCTTTCTCTCATAGACTGTAAATTTGCATCTTTTGATTCACTTTGGATCAAGCTTTTAAAACTGAATAAATACATAGATACACACATATGTATATATGTGTGCATATATATATATACACAAATGTGTGTATGTGTGTATATAGTCATACTTTTTTTGGTGAAAACTGAAAATAAAGATCTGTTTTCATGGTCTCTGTAAAAAGTCATAAAAACAATTTGATATATGAAACTTCTCCATTGTACCAGAAATTGTACTCATCATATACCACCATGTGTTTCAGCTATTCATATACATATCTACCTTACTGGTTTGGGAGTTACTTGAGTACAGGAGTATCTTATACATATTTTTGGCCCTCCCACAGCAACCACCTACCTCAGTCTCTTTACAAAATAAGTTCTCAATAATTGTTTGTTAAATAATTGGTCATGGCATCAAAGTTGTAAGTTTTAGTTAGTAACACTAACAGCACACAGTTGATGCCATAACCCATACTTTCCCAGGAGCCTATCGATTAATTGACGTAATGAACTGGACAGTAACTAGGAAAGCATCTCCAATTCTGTGGTTATTTGAAGGCAGGCTTACAATGCTATTTATTACATTCATGTAATTAACTGGAGGTATGCTATCTGTTGTATTGACCATAGGACAGATGAAACAAATATACAGACAGACATACAACATGATGGGGGGTGTTTTGTCCTTTAACAAGATATGGGTGCTGTTTGGCCTAATTTAAAGTAGCATTGGATTGGTTGTATTTGTTTTACTTCCTATGCCCTTTTTACCTTCAAAGAACTATTTTTATTAGCTTCTGCTCACAACAGCTTTGTAAATGATAAACTTATCCCTGTTTTACAGGTGAATCACTCTGTAAATTGAATCATCATCAACAGTGTGTATTAAGTAGCATTCTCAAATGCCCAGGATTATACAATAAATTGGAGCAGTCAGATTTAGAAATGCAGATCTGCTGAGACAATAGTTCATTGACATACATAAGCCTTTTTAATCACAGGACTTCCCCTGAAACTTTTTCTCAGATTTTCTAAAGTAGTATTTGCTATATTACCATTCCTCTTTAACTGTTAATGGTATTTGTCTCTCATGAAAGGTCCTGTTTCCTCTGAATGATTTCTCAGATTAAATGGGGTAAAGTATACAAAAACACTTTGAAAAGTATGAAAAAATAGGGGCAGTTAGGTGGTGCAGCAGATAGACCACCAGCCCTGGAGTCAGGAGGACCTGAGGTCACATCGGGCCTGCAGACACTTACTAGCTGTGTGACCCTGGGCAAGTTACTTGACCCTGATTGCCTCCAAAAAAAAGAAGAAAAGTATGAAAAAAATATACAAATATGTGTTGTAAGAAGGCATGAAGGTTTTACTCTGTTCAAAGCAATAAGGTTTTGCTCCTCACATATGCATAATAAAGTCAGAATTCGGGGCTAGGTGGCAAGAAGTGAATGTTGAGTTGATCTAATAGAAGCTATTGACATTGGATCACCTTTATGAAACAAGGATGAGCCAGGGACAGAGTTCACCCAGACCTTGAAAACGTTGACCTTGACCATCAATTGTTTAGGGATCCAGTCTAACCAGCACTCATAAACCCTTGAGCAGAAATAACAATGAGGACTGAGAATAGACAGTGCCTTCCTATGCTGGCCTGGTGAATCCCAAGTGACCATTATATTCTTGTCTTTCTATAAGATACATTTGAATAAAATACCTTTAAAGCTGACCAGAGCACATGAGAGTGTAGAAGAAAAAAAAAAAGAGAGGATCTAAAACAGAACCTCGGATTATGCGCACACACAGTGGGCAGGACATTCATGATGACCCTTCAGTAGAGACAGAAAAATCTAATCAAGACAAAATTTCATGAAAACCCAGGAAAGAAAAATAACCCAGGGGAGGTGGTCAGCAGCATCAAGTGCTTCAATGAAATCAAGGATGAAGATTTAGAAATAACCAGCAGATTTTACAATTAAGAGATCATTGGTAACCTTAAAAACAGCAGTTTCCATGGAGTAGTGAGTGAGTATAGAATGCAAATTTCAAGGGTTTGAGAAATGAGTGAAAGTTGAGAAGTGGAGGCAATCAATATATAGATAACTTTTTCTAGGAATTTGGCTGTGAAGAGAGGAAAGATAGAATGATAGCTTGAGGGAGTGTGGTAGAGTCAAGTGAAGGTTTTTTTTTAAAGATATAGATCTGTAAAGGTTTACAGGCAGCAAAAGAGGAATCGGTGGATACAGTTTGAAAATTATGGAGGGAGAAGGGATGATGGACAAACTACTGGAGGAGAAAGGAGATCAGCATTTTTCCTCTCTTTGGGTGTTCCCTAGGCAGGGAGAAAGGCCACCTCATCCTCCAAGATTGGTGCAAAGGCAACTAATATGGAATTGTTTTGCATGATTATACATGTATAAGCTATATCGAATTGCTTGCCTTCTCAATGAGGTGGAGTGGGGAGGGAGGAAGTGAGAGAATATGGAACTCAAAGTTTTAAAAACGAACGTTAAAAAATATTTTTACATGTAACAGGGAAAAATAAAATACAAAATAAATTTTTAAAAAAAGATTGGTGCAAAGGAGAGAATGGGGGTTGATGTGGAGGTGATTTGAAGTGCAGAGTTGAGAAGCAGAGGGAATTCTCTGTGGATAACCTCAGTTTTTTTCAGTGAAATCTGAGGCAAAGTCCTCTTGTTAAAAGGGAAGGGAGAAAAGTAATATAGGTAGTTTGAGAGAAGAGAAAGTCTGAAACAGTCACTGTAGAGAATGGCATAAAGCTGATAAGAAATCATAGGACCACAAATTCAGAATTGGAAGGGACATTAAGGTAATATAAGTTAATCTTATTTTACTGATGAGGAACTAAGACTCAGATTAAATGACTTGCCAAAAGTCACATGGGTAATAAGTAGCAGAGTAACCACTTGAGCCTATGTCCTCATATACTAAGTACAATACTCTTTTCACTATACCATGCCCCTGTCCAGTTAAGAGTTAAAGGATTGATATGAAGTAGTCCATTTATGTCCTTGCACTGTGGAAGCTTGTTTAAAAGCCACAGACAGCTAGCTCCTCTTTAGTTTTGTTATGGGAGAAATATCTCCTCTCTGAGTTCATGTGGTGGGTAACTGCTACCAAATATATATATGCACATATATATGTATATGTGTATATATATATATATTCACATATATATATGCCACAGCACAGAAATT